TATATATATACCCCGAGACTGAAGTAGCAGTTGCCGAGCACGCTGACATGCGTCGCATCGTGATTAGTAGTACCCTCCGTGTACGTGACTTCATGACACACTCGCACGTCCACATATGAGATTGCTCGTCACTCTGAATAATTAAATAGCCTTGCCACATATATTCTAGGGTTTTGGGGTTCTAAGGTTTTGGTGTTTTAGGGTCGGTGGTTTCCATGGGTTTGGGGTTTATAAGTTTGTGTGCGGTTGGTTCACCTGCTGTGTTGGATTGCCATTGCAGGATTTGCGACAGGTGGAATCGGAGGCGCGGGGCTTTGAGATCACAGACGAGGGCATCAATGTGTGCCAAATCAAACACTACCAAGTCATGCACAACATAGGCAAGGGCGCCTTTGGAGTGGTCAAACAGGGCAGGCATGAGACCACCAATAGGAAGGTATGACCAGAGGTCCCCGTCCATTGGAGGGGGCATGTGTCCAAAAACTGAGACATGGGTGCATGTGTCCAATAACTGAGACATGGGTGCATGTGTGGGATGCTAGACACATGTGACACATATTGATAAGTGTGAGTTACTGCACACTATACTGTGCATGTGATGCGATGGAATAGCTAAACCAGTACACACTTAACATACACATACACAGCCACGTATGTGTACCTGTGTGGGTGTGTACCCCGAATCTTAGTACCTTGTGTGGCAGCTACGTCGTTGTGTGTGTGATAGATTCACGTATCTAGTTCCAAGTAATAAGTCACTTGTGCATGCACACTAGAGGTGTTGTAACCATTCGCAAACATTCACGTACACCCCGTATACTTGGCGTACGCCTTCTTACAGCACAGGCACACTCAGCTGCTCCTTCGGGCGCGTTAATTTATGAGTAAGCACGCGTACCAGAGGACAGTTATGATATCCAGCACAATACACCAAAGTGCATTCTTGGGTTTGGTGTTTACAAACCCTGAACCCTAAACCCCTAAAACCTAAACCCTACGACCTAAGGGCAACTAATGAGTCCACCGGCGTTTAACATCTGTGTCACAGGTTGCGCTGAAGATTGTGCTCACAAAATCAGGAGTCTCGCACAAAGTGGAGGACGAGGGTAACCTCATGATAGGTGGGTGTGTTTGAGAGAGAGAGCGAGAAAGAGAGTGTGTGTGTTTGTGTGCGCGCGCGTGTGTGTATTGCGATTGTGTCTGTCTGCGTATGTGTGTGCTTGTGTGTGTATTGTGCGTGTGTGTCTGTGCTTGTGTCTGTGTTGTGTTCGTGTGTGTTTGTGAGTGTGTTATGTACACCGACGTAAGGGGCATTGGGTACTGATTTTGGCGTATGAATGAACGTGGTAGGATGACATGCTTCTGTGGGTGTATATGTAGTGGGCGCTGTCAGAGGAGTGTGTGTGTGTGTGAACTTGCGTGTATTGTGTTTGCACGGTTGACCATAGCGTTCTAAATGAACAGTGAACAAGACATCCCCTTCAACTGACCGGAACACGTTGCTTGGCTGTGCAACGCTCAGTCAAGGCACACCATTCTCACGCCTATCGCGTAAACCAAGTTATTTTCACGTGCTGGTTTTAATCCTGTTCCTTTCCATTGGGTTTATGGCATCTCTGCCGTAGGTTTGCATCACCCGCATGTCATCCGCTTATACGAAGTCATCAAACGACCTGACTACATCTGCATGGCCGTTGAGTTGTGCAGTGAAGGGTCCCTGCTGACTCTCATCGTCAGCGAAACCAAGCTCCGAGAAAACCTGGCCAGGAGGTGTGTGAGGAGACGGTTAGAATATTGTACTTGCCTGTAGGCTGTCGTGGGCTAGGGTTTTAGGGTTTGCACAAGGCGTGCATTCGTTTGCGCTCAGTGCATAAACACTTACGTAAATTATTCTTCATGTGGGCGGACTTATGTCGAGTCCAGCTCAGTTCAGTCTTCGATATGTGATTTGCGACATTTTAACGAGTTTGTGACATACAATCAATGTCTCGAGATCTCCAATCCATGCGGACGCATATCAAACAACCACGAACACAACATGCACTTGCAACGCAGCTAATCTACAGCCCACACACAAGATAAATCCTAAACACTAACACAAGGCAACTCACACACACAAGATAAACCCTAAACCCTAACACAGGGCAACTCTCACACACAAGCACACACAAGGCAACTGACTGATCCTTCTCTCATACACGAATCTCATACACATCACACTTATACTCCTCTCCTGTCATGTGGCTGTTCCTGCGTGCTGCACAGATTAGTTTATGAGACGGCCTTAGGACTGGAGTATCTTCACTCGCAATGGGTCATCCACAGAGACATCAAACCAGAGTAAGTCTGCGCGAGTGTGTGACAGGACGTGAGTTGATATAGGCGCCGTGTGTGAGTGGGTGGGGCGTGAGAGTGGATGTAACCCTGTTAGTATAATCGATGGCATGTGTTAAGGGAGTGTGTGTGTGTGTGAGGGAGTGTGTGTGCGTGGGTTAAGGATGTGTGTGTGAGAAAGTGTGTATTTGTGCGTGTGTGCGGTTGTATGCTAGTTCTGTGAGGTGTCAACATGTTCATACGATAAAGGGAGTCAGCGTTTATACCGGACAGTGTAATCCCGTGCTTGGCATAGGACATCCCAAGTTCCGAATATATTGTGGCTTCAGAGTTTAGGGTTTAGTGTTTTAGCATTTTAGGGTTTTTTAGGGTTGAGGTAATACAAAACTATGGCGTGGGCTTCTGTTTAGAGTGGTTAGGGTTTGGTTTTAATGTTTAGGGTCGCTAGGGGTTGGTTTCTGTGTAGGGTGGATCTTCCGTGCTGTATGTAGATGCACATTAATCACGAGTGTTTGTTTGTTTCAAAGAGACTTTCACTCGCACTACCATCCTGTCCACATACATGTACTTTGTTTCACACTACCGCCCTGTCCACATACGTATACCTTGTTTCGGTGTGTGTGTGCTTAGGATCATATATATGTATATATTTATATTAAATGTTCAAGTCTATGCGTAAATACATCCACATTTTTTTTTTAGTGTTTTAGGGTTTTATGTATCTAAATATATACTATGAGTTCAAAGTTATGCCAATATACATTCACATGTATGTACCTATATACAATTAAGTTCATGTCGCATACTCTGAGCGTGTATGGCTATGCCGAATGGGGCTAATGCAATGGTAACGGTTGCTCACAGGGCATAGACACGCCGTGGTTAGTAATGCTAAAGGTGTACATGTCAACCCGCTGGTCATTACAGATACGTTCGCTGAGGATATGAAGACACATTTTTGGCAGGAATACAATGCGGGATTCAAATATGCTATTACATTCTCATGACACACATACATTGGCAGAAATGTATGGTCCAACTTTAAAACCCAAAAACCATCAAACTCTAAACCCCATTTTTTTTTTGGGCAGAAACATACTGCATTTAAAATATTTATTTTTTCCCATGACTCTTCCCTTGGCAGAAACATATTACTCAACTCCAACATGCAAGTCAAGATCACCGATTTCGGGTGTGCGATGAAACTGAAACACAAAAATGAGAAATTAGAACAAATAATCGGCACACTGGACTATGCCGCACCAGAAATTATTGATTCGGTAAGTATGCGTTGCTAATAGCAACCAATATATATATATATATATATATATATATATATATATGTGTGTGTGTGTGTAGTTGTATATATATATATATATATATATATATATATATATATATATATATA